GGCGACGGCAATGCTCCAGGGCCCAGCTGGCAGGGAGGGGGGTCCCCAGCCTTGGGGAGGGGGGAGTGACAGGGGGTCTGGTGGGATCGTGCAGGGCCCCGTCCTTGGGACCCAGCAGATGGCACTGCCGCCTCGCGCAGCCGAGCTGGGGACACAGCTGCTGCCCACCTTGACATCCACCGGAGGACCAGGGCACACACAGGGATGTCTTTCCCCCTTCCCAACCCAGGGTGTCGCCTCCTGCCCAGTTTACTCCATTTTGGCAGAGGAAGGGAGATGGAAGGGGGGCAGCAGCCACCCCCACATCATCATCCCCGGGGCAGGGACACAGAAACACTGCTGGGCAGAAGCAGCTGAGCAGCTTTGTGCCTCCGTTTGTGTCTGCACCTTCAGGACTTTGTTTTTGTTTTTGTTTTTGTTTTTCTTTTTTCTTTTTTCCGTGGGTATTTTTCAAATGAAAAGCAATTGTGAAAGATTCCTCATGCACACACCTCCCCGCACACTGGGCCCAGCGTCCTCCAGAGGCCTGGGAAGGGATGGAGAGATGGAGACATGTACAGGGAAGGACAGAGAGAGACGGAAATAGCCGTGGGAATAGCAAAAGAGTCGGGAATTGTCTGGGAAAACGCTCGGGGAGATGGAGGAGAAGCTGAGCTGCCTGTTACCCTGCCTGCCCGCGAGCACAAAGAGCAGGCAAGGGACCCAATCTGTCGGAGATGACAGCAAGGCCAGAACCAGCATCTAAATTAGCATGAAGTGTTTCCATTGTGCGAGGCACAATGAGGACCATATGTCAGGTCCGGGTCTGGCAGCCGGCGACAACGGGCCCTGCAGAGGTTTGGGAGCCGGCGCTGCCGTGGAGCTTGGGCTGCCCTAACCCCATTACCACCTCCTGGAGTGTGTGAGGTGGGGGGTGGGATGGGGACGGCCCAATGTCCTGCACTGACATCCAAGGGTTGGGGACGACCATCCCGCACTGACCTCCATGAGATGGGGACAGCCATCCTGCACCAACCTCCATGGGATGGGGATGACCATCCCACACCAACCACTGTGGGATAGATGGGGACGGCTGCCCCGTACCAACCTCCATGGTATGGAGACCGCTGTCCCACACCAACCTTCATGGGATGAGGATGGCCGTCCTGCACTGACCTCCATCGGATGTGTATGGCTACCCTGAACCAACCTCTGTGGGATGGGGACGGCCGCCCCGCACCAACCTCCATGGTATGGGGACTGCCATCCCACACCAACTACTTTGGGATGGAGATGGCCATCCCACACCAACCTCCGTGGGATGGACATGACCATCCCACACCAACCTCCATGGGATGGGGACGGCCATCCCACACCAATCACTTTGGGATGGGGACGGCCATCCCGCACCAACCTCCATGGGATGGGGACAGCCGGAGGGGTTGGGAGCAGAGCTGAGTCCGGATGCAGGTGGTGGAGACACAGTGCATCCCAAGGGCTGAACACCAGGGAGAAATCCCTGTGCTGGGACAAAAAGGACGCCGAGGTCCCCCAAGGTCCCCTCCTGTGCCCTACCAGCCGCTATTGCCCCTGCGGCCTGATCCGGTGCGGAGTCTCCCCGTTTACTTCCCCCGCTCCCTCCCCCATGTTTATTATTTCCCCTTTGATGCATCTCGGCTGAGTCGAGCTGCAGCCGAGGCCAATTGATTATATGAAGAAATTTGGAGCAAGTCGGCGAACAGCTGCAACCTGCCCCCAGGGACGTGCGGGATCGGCACAGACAAAGGAGATGAACTGCAAACTTGCTTCCCCCCTGTAGCTCAGGGTGGGCTGGCGGTGTGAGGACAGCGCTGGGGGGGTCGCAGGGAAGAGGGCTGGGGGACACAGAAGGGGACCTGTAGTAGCCAGAAGTGCATGGTCAAGTGATGGGTGACTTCAGAGCTGGGGCCGCACTGATTTCTCAGGGGTACGCAGGAGAGAGAAGGTGGTTTACTGGGTGCGTTTGGAGATGCTGATGGCTGGACCAGATGTCCTCATCCCTCTGGTGACAGCAGATTGGGCCATTTAGGGTCTGCTTCTCCCAGCAAACCCAAACTGGGCTCAAAGGGTGACTGCACGCCTGAGGAAAGCCCAAGCCACAGCATCCACCCTGGTTCTGAGCGAGCCCGAGCCCGGCCGGTGCTGGCAGGACTCTTAAGAGTGCTGAGGGGACACGTCCTTGTCCCTTGGCCGCAGTGGTGGGTGACGGCCTCCCTCCCACCACCTCCTTTTGCAGGCACGGCTGCAGTGCGGGGAATCCACCGCCACCACCAAACAGCACAAGGAAGAGAGAGTTAAAAACAAGGTATTTAAAAAAAAAAAAAAAAAAAAGAAAGAAAAAGGGAAGCCGGGCACTCCAAGTTCAAGATCTCTCTTTTGCTGGCAGTTTAATTCATTTCCCCCTCCCTGACTTCCTTGTGAACTCATAAATAATAAATCCTTGCACAGTCTGAACAGCCAAGACAAACACACGCTGGGGCACACCGCGTACGAGGGTGGGTGGGTGGCTTTTCCACCGTGGTCATTCTTTTTTTTTCTTTTTTCTTTTTTGTTTGCTTTCTGGTTTTCCTTTCCCCAAAAGTGCACAACACAGCAAATAAATAATAACATTTATCAATAAATTAATTCAATAAATATCCTCGTGGCACAGAGATGTGGGTGGGGAGTGGAGGGGAAGGGAAGGCTGCCCTGCTCTGTTTTGCTCTGCTGCTGCCCCCCTCCCTCCCCGGTGACAGAGGAACCGGCTGCGGGTCTGCCACTCTGGCCCTCGGGGATCCCACATCAAGTCCTTTTGAGACAGAGGTAGCGATCGATCTCCCTGGTTTTTTTTTTTGGGGGGCGGGGGAAAATGAGGTACGGAGCGAGGTGTCGCTGGGAGCTGGCAGCAGAGATGGGGACAGGGATGGAGCTGAGAGATCCACGGTGTTCCGGGAAGCCCGGCTGGGGATCGTGTGGCTCGGACACCCGGCATGGGCAGCAGCCAACACCTTGGGAGGAAAAAAAGCAGAGGGTGGGATGCTGGAGGGCCTCCAGGATGCCGTGCTCTGGCTCTGGGAGATTGCTGGTGTGGGCAGGATGTGGCACTGACCCTCTCGCCACCACCGTTTTGCCTCTGGCACGCCAAAGTCCATCTCCCCCAGCACCCAGCCTGCAGGCCGGACCAGTGCCCGTCTCACGGCGATGCTCAATGAGGAGCAGCCCCGACCCATTCCCCACCGGCCAGGCTGGGGCTCTGCTCTCAGCCCGGAGCATTGGCTCTGAGCATATCCAGCAGTTTCTGCGGGGTCCTGGTCCCCAGCCCGGGCTCTGCTTGCGCTCGTGCCACTGCCAGTGCAAAATTAACTCTTAAAACAAACAAACACCCATAAAACAAGGCAAAACATTCACTCTTGCAATGAGCTTCCCCCCAGCCTCGGCCTTGCTGGAGAAGAGGCTGCTCGGCTCTGCTTTCCCTTCCTGCTGTCCTCCTTCTCCCAAAGCGTTGATCCATGGGGGGGGGACGACACAGGGAGAGCCCAACTGCTGGCAGGGGGCAAAGGGGCTGTGCCTGCTTCCTCCCCTCTCCAACCCCGCTGCCCCGTGAGCCGCAGGTAAAGTGCAGTTTACCCCAGCAGAGCCCGTGCTGGGAAATGTCACGCTGCACCAGTGCTGTACTGGTGTAAACGGGGGTGGGGGGCGGTCTGCAGCATCCCGGGGTGAAGCCGATTTGAACCCCGGCAGCACCCGCTGTGCTGAGGAGGGGGGACATGGTGCTGGGGGAGCTGAGCGTCGATGTGTTTCCCCCCATGCTGGGGCTTGTGCAATGCTTGTGACCCCACTCAAGCCTTTTTTAAGCAGGAGAACCGAACTGGGGAAGACAGAGGAAGAGTGGGGTGAAGAGTAGGGTGGGATGAAGTGCCAGTTGGGTGCCCCAGGGTGGTTGTGGCTGTGGGTGCCATGGAGGGGGCTTCACGCTCCTTGTGCACTTGTGCAAAGGAGGGTCGGGCAGCAAAGCCGGGGATGCGCAGGTGTGGGGAGCAGAGCGCTGAGGTTCGGGGAGATGGAGGGGCTTGGGGACCCCCAGGGGTGCTGCTCCAGCCCAGCATGGGAGCGGGGCCAGCGCTGCTCTGGGCACCTCGTGGGCAGCACAGCGAGCGAGCACACCTCTTGGGCTCCGTCTTGAGGGGAACCTGCCGCTGTTGTCCATGGAAAGGGTGGGCAGGTCCTGCGAGGTCTGCACGGAGCTTCGGGGGGGGGTGGAAAGCCAGGGCAAACACCGAGGCGCCGCGCTGAATGCTCCTGGGCTGTGCTCCCTCTGTGGAGAGGACAGTGCTGATGTGGGCTGTTAAGTGCCCAGCACGACGCCAGGGGCAGAGCAGCAGCAAACAGACAAAATGCTCAGACTGGCTGTGCTGGTGGGTGGGGTGGCAGCACAGACAGACAGACGGACAAGACCCCGGGGCTGCTTGGCGCTGCAGGGTCTCACAGGTCCATTTTTTTGTGGCTGATATAAAAGAGGTGATGCACAGGCAGAACTTGGGCGCAGTGGCTCCCGCTGTGGGTCAGGGAGCAGACGGGGCGGACAGACTGGCGGATGCGGGGCTCAGGATCCTGTAGGATCGGCATCAGGATCAGTGGAATGTGCAGCAGAAGGATGGAGAGAAGTTGGGAGCGTACACAGCCAGCACAGGCTTCGGGTAGCAGATCCAGCAGGACAGACAGACGGCTGATGGACCAAACATCCAGCCTGACTCAGGCAGGATGGAAAGACAGACGGATATGGGCTTGGTGGTGGGGAGATAGAGAACATAGTTCAGACAGGGGGTAGGGCAGACAGCTGGGGACTTGGTCCATTTGAACAGACGGATGAACAGCATTTTGGATGCCCAACAGGTGGTTCAGGTTGTAGACGGACAGACGGACTTGAGCTCTTGGCTCAGATGCCCAGCACACGTTCAGGTAGGAGATGTAGCAGACAGACAGACGGATGCCGGCTGGGCAGCTCAGACGTCCAGCACGTGGTTCAGGTAGGAGATGTAGCAGATGGCCAAGCGGAGGATCTCAATCTTGGAGAGCTTCTTGTCTGGCGGCAGGGTGGGCAGCAGCTTCCGCAGCTCGGCGAAGGCCATGTTGAAGGCTTCGACGCGGATGCGCTCCCGCGTGGCATGGGCTGTCCGGTATTTAGCTGTGGCACGGCGCCGGCGCCGACGTTCCTCCCGGCTCAGGTGCTGCAGGTCTTTCTTCACAGCCTCACCTGGTTCGGCTATCCGGGACTGGGCGCACAAGCCAACGCTGCCAGCGTCCTCTGCACTGCCCGCACGGCCGCCGCCGCAGTCACTGAAGACAGACTCGGACTCGGAGTGCGTTGGGGGCAGGTCGATCTCTGTCTGGTCCGAATTGAGCATCATCTTCGCAGAACAGGGGTGGATGGAGGGGTGGATGCTTCAGAGATGCGGTACGTCAGGAGGACAGACTGACCCCGGGCACGAGGTCAAAGCAAAACTGCTCTACTTTAAAGAGAAGGTCTCCAGCTCACAGCAAGCCCCTGGTTATTCTCCTCCTCTTCCTCCTCATCACACACAGTCTCCGCAAGGGAATTTCAAAATTTTCCCTTTTCCCCGGAGAACTCGTTGGGTGGGTGACAGCTTTCACGATAAATAACGTAAGAACGATGGCAGGATGCATATAAATAAAATAAATAAATAAATATCCTCCGTGCGCGCCTGTGTGCAGAGACCCGTGGGCTCTTCAGTGCAGCCGTGGCAGGACCCAGTTTTGGAGCCGTCAGGTGTCAGAGCCGAACTCCTTCCGTGTGCTCTAGAAAACAGAAGCACAGGGGCTCTCAGTACCGCCCGGCTCCCGGCGGACATGAGAGACGTAGCTAGAGAGCATGGCTCTTTGCTCCAGCCGCAGCAGGGGACAGCCCGTCCCCACCGGGCTGGAACGGGGCTCCGGGTCCCCGCTCACGGGTGGCGGAGATGGAGCCGGTGGGGTGGCTGTGGGAGAAGGTAGAAGCCATTTCTCCTGGCTCTCCGGAGGGATGACAGGTGGTGGATGAGCGAAGGGGAAAAACAGACTGCGGGGGCGAGAGGAAGGGGGGGGGCTCATTGTATACTAAATGAGCCCGTATGTCATGGATCCTGGCACCCCCGACATATGGAACCCAACACAGCTGCTTTGCTTGATGTGTCCAAATAGAAGCTGGCTCTCTGTTCCCTCCGGGACGCTGCGCCGCCGGCCGGGAAAGCTGCCTCTCCTCTCCCTTCTCCTCCCCCCGCCTCGCTGCCTTCCCTGCGTGGCTCTGGCATGGCGGGGAGGGGGTCAGGTTGGCACAGATGCCTCCGGCACCCCAAGAGCAGGTCTGGGAAAGGCAGGTCTTGCTGCAAGTGCATCTTTCCCCCTCCACTGTCTCCCCGGGGCAGGGGAAGGGCTGAGGTGGAGTAGGGGAAGGGGAACAAACTTCAAATGGGGAAACGCTGCTGCTGGGAGAGACGGCGGCACGGCTGGGAAGCCAGCCAGGCAGGGATGTACAACATATCACCTCTCTCAGGCCTGACAGGCTTGTAATGAGCCGTACGACCGAGAAATGGAAACGAAATGAATAAGGACAGGGGACGACTCGGGGGAGAAATAGTCCGCATCCCGTTTTAAAAGACTGGCCGGGGGGGGGAGGGGCAGAGCCCTCGATGCGCGTTTGCGGAAGCACTGCCCAAGAAATGCAAGGAACCCCATAATCGTGTATAGAAACCTCTGCACGTCTGAGCCCCCCAAATGCATGTGGCTGTTTCTTTGCACGCTTACGCAAACACACATGTACACACACACGTACACGCAGACACACAGACACGTCTCCCAGCACATAGGTGCAAATGTCCCCAGTCAAAAACTCCTCTGTGAGAATCCCACATCACTTTATGCACAATAATTTACACCCAGGCTCATAAATCTACACCAAGTCAGGCATCTCTGTGCGCATACAGACACTCACACTCACATGGTGATATTCAGATTTCCCTGAAAAAATTAACCCAGACTTTTTTTTTTTTCTATAACACAAAACCTTTCAGCTATGCCTGACAGTACAAGTAAACCACCCAAATCCTAAACACAAAGTTACTCTTGTGATGCACTTAGCCGGGAGATGATGGAAGGGCTGATAGAAATGGATCCACGGAGATGCCCTCTCAAGGCTTTGAGCCCGCACCTAACTACCCTGTCCTCAGAGCAGGGCTGAGTCTGGGGTTGTGTTTAACTTGCTCTCCCTGTGATCAGCTTCGGAGACAAACCAGCCAGGGACCAAGAACCGTGACCAACGCAGCAGTGTGTATCTCAGGTTCCTGAATTAGCTGCATCTGCTGTAGCTGTCCACTATAGCCATGACTCCTGCACCTTCTTTAACCTTCTCCACTCCCCTCCCGCTATAATTTCTTTTCTCCTTCTGCTCTTGCCCCCTTCCTGCAGTCCTGGGACCTCCTCTCTGATGCTTGGCGGGGGAGGGAGTGGTCCTGCCCTGCGGCTGCTCTGCCCTCGGAAGCAGCATGTCTGTGGACGACCACCACCCAAAGCAGGGCTGTCCCCGACCGGTGAGCCAGGCCAGCTCGAGGTTTGTCACCACGGCTGTGTTTCCCGGCGGTGCCACCTCCCTCCCGCTCACAATAGTGATCCCTGGAGCATTGCTCCCAGGGCGCTCCCAGCTCCAGCCGTGAGCACAACCTCCGGAGTGGCCGGGCTGGGAGAAGGAGGGAAGGTCGGCTCTGGGGTTGGACATGGGCCACGGCGGCTCTGTACTTTCAGATCCCAGGGCTGCGGCGAGGAGTTGGCGTGTGGAAGTCTGGGATCCGCGCTCACGTGCGCAGTTCCGCACCTGTGTGCACAGCTTCTCTTTAAATACTCTCCTCCCTGCTCTTAGGGATGGGGAACAGCACTCGACTTCTTACACCAGCATCCCCGCTCTTCTGTCTCCCTTTTATCCTGGCGCTGCTGCTCTGCAACCAACAGGCCCGTTCTCCTCCTGCCCTGCAAACTCAGGTGCTGCCTCATCCCACCGTGCTGGAGCTGAAGTCCACATGCGGGTGAGCTACCCCGGCAAGAAACCGTGGAGCGGCTCCACTGCCTCCTGGCCCCGTCGCTTCGGCACAGGGCAGGGAAGGAGACAAACAATCGCCTCCTGTCCCCTCCTGGGACACCAGCGCTGAGGCACGAGCGTGTTACTTCATCCTGGAGCAGGGGAGGCCACGAAACCTCCTTCTCCTCAGGCAGACGGGGATGGTGACCTGGCCCAGGAACAGCCCGGGAACCACTCACCAGTCTGCTGCAGTCCGCAGAGGGCACAGGCTGTGGGACACGGTGCTGACCCTGTCTCAGCGTCCTTGGGAGTGAATTTAAGGTGTCTCAAACATGGGAGGCAGGAGTCCTGCTCTGGGGTCTCTGCTCTCAGTCGCAGAAGGATGTCGGCAGGAGACACCAGACCATTTGCACGAAGACAAGTTTCAGTACTGGACCCAAGTGAACTCCTTATCCCAGTCCTCCTTCGCTGGGTTAGTCCAGTCCACAAAAAGCTTTTCCTTCATGTGGGAGAGTTGTGCTCTGGGTGGCTCTTTTTCACTCTTTCCTGCAGATGAACTGTAAACTGCCATCTTCCTAAATTCACCTCTTGCAAGAACCTCTTTTAAACCTACACTTGCTCCAGTCCTGCCATGAGCAAAACCCCAATAACGCTTAAACCCTCGATGGGAAGCAATGCTTCCCACCTCCTCGCTTGCCCTTTCCCTCGCACGCCAGACCGGTGGTGTGACAATTTTTGAAGACTCCCTGGCCATGCAAAATGTGTCTGGGACCCACTTTCAGGCCATGCGAAAGGAGGTTCCTTTTCTTTTTCCTGATCGGAGCTAGCCCGTGCCACCACCGAGCCCAAAGCAAAGGACGTGCAGGCGGATTTGTGCGTTAAACCTCGTGCCGGGGTCGAGCCCCCTTTCCCGGGAGAGCCTGCAGCTTCGCGCAGAGGGCTACCGTCCCGCACAGACCACATTGCTTCTCTCACTACCACCTCACAGCAGCGTCACACCTCGCAGCACTGCTCACCCATCCCCAGGACAACCACCTTACCCCCAAGCCGATGACCATTCCCGAGCTCCAGCTTTTCTCTTCCAGCAGGATGGGGGGGGGGGGGGCGGTCAGGGGAAACCCCAGCAGCTTTGGGGCCCAGGCATGCTCCTCCTTGGGCAGGAGTGCAAGCGGGCCACCGCACGTTGAGATGGACACCCCAAGGATGCATGTGCCCCATACGCTATATATACACCCCAGCCTCGCACGCCGGGTCCGCCCCCACCTGCCTCATTGGCCGCTCCGGTGCTCCCCCCCTCATAAATATTAAAGTCAAGAGCGGGGATGCCATTGGCTGTGCGGGAGGTTGGAGCCCTCGGGAGAAGAGGGAGGTGGAGGTTGGATGTGGTCCTGGAGGGTGGATGGAGGTGGTGGGCTGGGAGGGAGGGAGGGAGGAGGGTGGGGGTGCTCCGGGAGAAGGCGACATCTGTTCTCCATGCATATTTCATAAAGGAGAAATAGAGAGATGGGAGCGAGCGTGGAAAGGGGAGAGGGAGAGACAGACAGGCAGGCAAGTCCCTGCGCCGGGCTGGGATGAGGAGCAGCCGTCTGCAGAAGAAGCGGGACCGACACCACAGCCTTCCCCATGGCTCCCACCCCGCGACGTGGGTGCGTGTGTGAGCTGGGCTGTGTGTCTGTGCTGTGCAGGCATGCACACGTGTCCGTGTGCCACACCAGTCTGCGGGTGCATGTGTGGGGCGGGCGAGCACCGGTGGGTGCCCGAACCATGGACAGCCTCTCCCAGACTGGCTCTACCAGTGGCAACAACTGTCCCATAGGTCCTGCCTGTGAGCTGCTGTAAAATCTACCTGTAGTGAAGTTTGGTGAGGAAAGAGAGAGAAAGTGAAAGAAAGAGGTACCCAGAACACACAGGTATTGCTTTGAAACGCCGATCCTCTATTTAACCACGAAACAATGATCTCTTTTGTGGCTTAGACTTGGTCTCTGCCTCTCACCCTTCTCCGATTTCAAATTCTCCCGTTAAGCTCCATCTTGAGAAAATCTGCTCTACTTTGTCCTCATTATCAGCAAACTCCCTGCTCTGAAATCCCTGCGTCCCCCCTCCCGTGCATACATATCCCTCTGTATCCTCCCGGACCTCCCTGCAGTTTGCTTGCTGGAGTCTCCCACCTTCGTCCTCTCCCTCCTCCCAGTGTTGGAGGTTACATGTTGTGTCCCCCCCCCATCTCCTCCCTCCCGGGCCCTGGGGGCTGGTTCCCCCTCCCCTGCACGGCAGGCGAAGCCCAGGTGATGGGCATTCGCACCTGGGTGGGCTCCAGCCCATGGCACGGATCAGCAGATGGTC